CTTCAGGAATATTACTGGCCAGGATGTTTTCGCGACGCGGAAAACTTCGTAAGATCATGTGACACGTGCCAGCGGATAGGGAAGCCACACGATAAGAAAAAAGCACCGATGAGGCTCGTCCCGCTGATCACTGAGCCTTTTCGCCGGCTGGTCATAGACACAGTGGGTCCACTGCCCACGAGCAAATCGGGGTACAGGTATGTGCTCACTCTACTGTGCCCCGCAACAAAGTTCCCGGAGGCATGTCCTCTGAAAGAGTTGAGTTCGGCGGAGATAGTGGACGCCTTACTGTCTGTCTTTGCGCGAATCGGATTTCCCGCTGAAATTCAATCGGACCAGGGCAGCGTGTTCACTAGCGCTCTCACGGGCACTTTCTTGGAGAAATGTGGCATTCGCGTGGTCCGCAGTTCAGTGTACCACCCCCAATCAAACTCTGTAGAGAAATGGCATTCCGTCTTTAAGCGAGTTCTTCGCGCTTTGATCTTCGAGCAGAAAACAGATTGGGAGGCTTGTCTGCCGGCCACCATGTTTGCCCTGCGCACCGTGCCACACGAGGCCACGGGTTTCAGCCCGGCCGAGCTCGTGTATGGGCGTTCGCTGCGCTCACCATTGCGCATGCTTCGCGAATCATGGGAGGGCCACGGGGAAGACCCGACAGTGGTGGAGTATGTGCTAAAGCTGCTAGATCGCTTGTATGAGACGCAGGAAGTTGTAGAGGCCAACATGCAGAGGGCGCAACTCAAGGCGAAACTCTACTATGACAAGGGGTCCAGGTCCCGAAAGTTTGAAGTTGGAGATCAGGTATTGTTGCTGAGAGCTTCAAAGAAAAACAAATTGGAGGTGCAATGGGAAGGCCCAGCCAAAGTGCTCCAAAAACTCTCTGACACGAACTACGCTGTAGAATCAGGAGGGACGAGAAAGAAGGTAACGATTTACCACTCTAACTTGATGAAACCCTACGTGGGGAGGAAAGAGAAGGTTAGCCTTGCTTGGAACACACCGGAGGAAGTTCCCACGGATATTCCTAGATGGGAGGGGAAACAAGGACTGTACGATGTAGATACGGTAGTGGCCAAGGCAGTAAAAACCGAAGTTCTTACTGAAGATCAGGTGAGCGACCTGCGCGATGTGATCGAGGAATTCGATAAAGTGTTTTCCGATCGACCTGGTCGTACTGATCTGGTGTGCCATGACATCGAACTCACAGACGGCACCCCAGTTCGATCGAAAGCATACAGGGTCTCTCCAAGACAACGTGACATACTAGCCGAAGAGATCAGACGCATGCTTGAGCTCGGAGTTATAGAGGCCGCCGAAAGTGACTACACTTCTCCCCTCATACTCGTGGAAGTGCCGGGTAAAGATCCTCGCCCGTGCATCGATTATCGGAGACTAAATGCGATCACCAGAGACCAAACTTACCCCATCCCAAACATAGAGGAGAGGGTAGAGCGTGTAAGTGCAGCCAGGTACATTTCCACATTGGATCTGATTCGCGGGTATTGGCAGGTGCCCCTGACGGAACGGGCAAGCCGCTATGCGGCATTTATTTCACCACTCGGAACGTTCCGTCCGCTGATGCTCAGTTTCGGGCTTAAGAACGCCCCATTTTGTTTTTCAAAACTCATGGACAGCGTCCTTCGCGGGATGGAGGGATTCGCACTGCCATATCTCGACGACATCGCGATCTTTTCGGAAACATGGCAAGAACACGTTTCGCACTTACGTCAAGTGTTCGGTAGGCTACGTGAAGCGGGCCTTACGGTAAAAGCCGAAAAATGTCAGCTGGGGCGTGCTGAGGTGACCTACTTAGGTCACGTACTTGGACAAGGGCGTCGACGACCCTCGGAAATCAAGGTAGCGGCCGTAGACGGTTTCCCGAGACCCGAAACAAAAACGCAGATCCGCTCGTTTTTAGGCCTGACGGGATACTACCAGCGATATATCGCAAATTATTCTCAGACAGCTAGCCCACTCACGGATGCTCTCAGAAAGCATGAGCCCAACAAGGTCATCTGGGACGAGAAAGTGGAGCAGGCTTTCCGGAACCTAAAGACCGCGCTCACGCGGCGACCGGTGCTAAGAGCACCTGACTATGCTCAGCCATTTTTCGTCCAGTGCGACGCGAGCGACCGGGGACTGGGTGTGGTTTTGTGCCAGAAAGTCAAGGACGAGGAGCACCCCATCCTCTACGCGAGCCGCAAGCTAACCACAAGGGAGGAGGCGTATAGCGCCTCTGAAAAGGAGTGTGCTTGTTTGGTTTGGGCCGCGCAAAAGTTGTCCTGTTACCTGGCAGGTGCCATGTTCACCTTCTAAACGGACCACTGTCCTCTGACATGGCTGCAGCAGATGTCACCCAAAAACGGACGGCTCCTGCGGTGGAGTTTAGCGTTGCAGGAATTTAACTTCCGCGTAACTTACAAGCGAGGAAAGCTGAATTCTAACGCCGACACCCTAAGTCGCATGTACTAAAAGCGTTCTTGAAAAAGCTTGTAGAGTTTTCCAGTGATTGTATAGATTTTGAATTTTGGGCCTTGCTTCGAATGCCACCCGCACTCGGCAGATAGAAAAGTGGAGTTAAGCTCATATCAGTTCAGATATGTAAGATGCGTTTGGGGCTTTTCTTTCCCTTTTCTTGGTAATACCGTTTTGTACAGCTTCAGAGCGTTTTGTATGCAAGCCAAGTTTTGCTTTTGTAACACGGCTGCTGTGTTTTTTCTTTATTTGTTCATTATAGGAGACGCGATGTTACTTCAGTAATAGTTGGTGGCTTTATTTTCACGGGAGTCCGGTTTTACTACGTTTTATTGTACCTTAACCTGATATTTTATGGAGGCTGGTTTCTCGTAATGAAGTTATAGTTCAGTATTGTCCTACCTTGATCGTGACACACTCACGTTAGAGAAATATATTAGTGACAATGTTCTTTTTTTCACTTGGCGAATTTCCGGGCGGGGTGGACGCTCGCTTGCTTCCCGTGTTTCGTGTTTTGTGATTCTGGGAGTCGCAAGCTAACCGCGTGGTGGAAAAGTGACCCAAGTTGCAGCGCAAGAGCTGGGATCTCAAGAGACGGCACCAGTTCTACGGCTTTCGGCAGAGCAGCTGCAGACCGCTCAACCTCTAGACCGTCTCCCCGTCGGCGGAGAGCTGTTATGAACGGCCCCCGGACCATTTTCACAATGTCTACATCTGGCCGTTTGTTTTCGTCGAGCGCCTCCCGCGGGTTCAAGGTCATCTGACTCAGTGAGCCTGGTGCAAGCATCGCTTCGGAAGCACGCCTGCCCCGCGGACGCACCAGACGGGCGCCGTGATATAGCCAGACTTTGCCGTGTACACACGTCTGGATATAGCATCCGAAGAGGGAAAACAACATCTCAGGTTTCACACCAGGGCACGATCCGGGGCGATGAAATCATCAGGACGCCTTCATTCAACGCGTAGACACGAAGAGTCGAATGTCGGCACGTCACGTCTCGGCCCCGGACGGTGTTTTGACCAGCTGCGTGAATTCCAACGAGCCGGTGTTTTGGTGAGACTCTCGGCGCCGTCTAGACCGACGGTGAAGTGTTTACGGCGGCTCAGTGTGCGTAATAATGGAATGTGGGGCGGGGTTTGAACTAGACACCTTTCTGTGATTGGCCGACTATCCGCCGATGTAGGGGTCCCTACCTAGGGACCTAGGGAGAACCAAGTGTTTAAAATGAGCGAACTTTGACAAGCAAATATCTTCTCTGGTCTTGAACCAACTGTACATCATGTAAATAAACAGTGTACTTTTCGAGAGAGATCGCGGCTCATCGTTGTTCCCGCTGAGCTCCAGCCCAGTGCCTGGCTCGAGTCACCCCTCCACCACCACGGACCCCGCTCGGTCAAAACACCATACAGGTTAGTGGTTTCTTTCCTTCCAGTTCGCGCTTTGTTTAAGCTGCTGACGAATAATACAATTAACTTTTTTCTCTTCTAGCGACTATGGAACAGCATCGACACCGACGGCAAACTCTAAAGTATGCAGCAAATACTTCACCGGAACCGAGAAGCGGAATGCAGTCGCCCTCCTAAGCCTACACTGTAAAAAATTTTCACCCCATTTTACGGGCAAAAGTTGCCGGTTCAATATTGCCGGTATGGTTTGCCGTAATCTAGAAACGGGACCGTCTGTAAAACCAAGGCATATAATTCCGTAAAATGACGAAACGTCCGTAGTTCACTTTACAGACAGTTATCCGTTTTCCATTTTACGGGTAAAAGTTGCCGGTTCAATATTGCCGGTATGGTTTGCCGTAATCTAGAAACGGGACCGTCCGTAAAAACAAGGCATATAATTTCGTAGAATGACGGAACGTCTGTAGCCCACATTACGGACAGCTATCCGTAGGAAATGTGAAAGCTGTCCGCACTAAATACCGAAGGACTATACCTTTCCGAATTATATAAGGCCAAAGCCTCGAGCCATCCGTACCACCTGCACCTCCGATACATCAGGCGACTCACCTGACAGAGCTCTAGATCTGCCAGGGGTGTCACCTGACTTATCAGAGGTGCAGGACTGGTGCGGATGACTCGTAGCTTTGGCCTTATATAATTCGGAAAGGTATAGTCCTTCGGTATTTAGTGAGGACAGCTTTCACATTTCCTACGGATAGCTGTCCGTAATGTGGGCTACAGAAATTTCGCCATTCTACAAAATTATATACCTTGCTTTTACGGAGAGTCCAGTTCAAAAAGATGTAAATGTCAAGTGTTTCATTATTTAGTGCAAAAAGCTTCCATATTCAAGCAAGCCTAAGTCACATGAAGCTTTTGGGGTAGATTGGTATGGAGAGTTCATAGCTCCGTCATTGTAGATATGAACTTGAATAATCTTTCATCCTCAGCCAAAAAGTTCATGTTTTGCAAAAGAGAAAGAGCCCACAACCGGTACTTCTCACTGCCAGGATTTTGTTTGTGTGAGCTCAGCTGTTCCTATAGATGACAGCTCAACAAACGAACCAATTAAGAAGTTTCGCCACAATACCTTTATTGGAAGAAGGCATGCCTTGCTTTAACTTTGGAGAAAATTTACATTATAGTTGTCCTTGTGCTGGCCATTTAGATGCCCCTCCATGCTTGTGTTTGAAGTTGTCATTCAATTGAAGACCTTCTCGGTATCTTCATGGTGCATGTAAGGGCAGCTTGAAATAAAGAGCAGAAGAGGATTTGCATTCAAACACAATCGCAACAAATTGTATATGACATACATGGTTAAAGTAAGTGAGCAACGTGCTTACAAACTAGCCTAGCTCCTACTAAACATGACATATAAAATAAACCCCCCATAAATTGAACCAAAGTAAAAATTTGCATTGATTTGAATACCGAACATATCAAGTGCTTGAGAAATAAAACTAGCCAATTAAAATTGCACAACTATTCAGTGATGTTAAGCATATTGGATTGAGCCAGATCTCCCTTAGCATATACAGTAGGCTCGCAATATAAGCACATTGGATGGAGCCAGATCTCCCTTAGTATATACAGTAGGCTCGCGATAATTCAAACTCGGATATTTAATACTTCTGGTTAAGTCAAACAAATTTCAAAACTTTGGTTGACCCGCTACGTTTTCAATGTATTTATAAGCCGCTTAACTCGAACGATGTTTTCGTGTAATTCATAATTTTTGTTCTCGCAGCACCATTCAGCGCACTTCTTTCGGAGCACCGGTGCACTGCGGAGAAGCAACACCCGTGGAGCTTGCTTCCGCTGGTGTTGCTTTTCCGCAGTGCACCGGTGCTTGGTAAAAAGTTTGTTTAACGGGGTTAAAGCAGAGCAGAACCGTGTATAAACTGTTTTACTAAAAGAGTGCGAGAGATAAAAGGGGAAAGGGCTATCGGCGCTTTCCCCCTTGCTGGAGCGTCAAAAACAGTGAAAGCCCCAGATGAGAGGCTTTGCCAGTGTTCGGTGTAAGTATTGCCCGAACTTCGTTCGTGTTTTGTTCTCTGTTTTAAACTCCCAAACTTAATTAGAGCCACGGGCTTGGATGGCAACAGTCCCCCGGTCATCAAGACACCATTGCTCAGTTATACGGTGCATGAATAACGACAGAAAGCGTCGAATACTGTCCGAGAGCCTGTGTAGCTTGCACGAAATCCGGCAAGGCGACTGCGACTGCAGTGTCTTTAAGCTCCATCGCTTTCCACATGACCCCGATTTCCGGCAGTAGTGGCTTGCGTCCCTAAATCGAAAAGACTTTTCCCCAACGACCTCCTCTCGACTGTGCTCGGAACATTTTGTGAATGGAGTGGGCATGACATTTAACGCTGTACCGTCGATGAACATGGGGTGCGCTCGCAAGGTGTCTGCAAGTTTTCTCCTGATATTTGCTTTCAGCTTGTAACATTTTGGAACTGAATTTATTTTAATATAGATATTTCGAAGTGGTGACATTGACTCAATTTTATTATCTGCAGCAGTTAGTTGAAGGCTGATTTTCGTCGCCAAGTGTGGCTGGCGATTGTCAAAAAGTTAGTTCTATTGCTTTGCCTGAATCCCAATCTCCTGCGCAATACCAGAGAGCCATGAGCCCATGCTGACCGTCACAATGTGACTAGATTCTTCTTATTTTCAAAATTAGTACATAATGTAGCTGGAAAGAAACCTTCAATTTCTGTTGCTTAAAGTTGAAACATGCTCATGCATCACTGTTTATAAACATAGAAACATGCTCATGCATCGGTGTTTATAAACGTTTTATTTGAGGATCCCGTGCCAACGAGTGTGTCTTTTGTCGAGAACTGAAAACAGCAAAGTCGAGATGGGCCTTTTGCCGGAGCGAGTCGGTCAATGATTCAACGATTCGAAATTGATGCATGAGCATATTTCAACTTTCAGCAACAGAAATTGAAGGCTTCTTCCCGGCTACATTATGTACTAATTTTTAAAATAAGTATCTAGTCGCATTGTGACGGTCAACATAGGTTCATGGCTCTCTGGTATTGCTCAGGTGATCGTGATTCAGGAAGACCAATAGAACAAGCTTTTCGACAATTTTCAGCCACACCCGGCGGCAGAAATGAGCCTTCAACTCAGCGTTGTTGATAAAATTGAGTCATTGTCAACACTTTGAAATATCAATATTAAGATAAATTCAGTTAGAAAATGTTACAACCTGAAACAGCCATTATCTCGAGAAAACTTGCACGCACCTTGCGAGCGTACCCCATGTTCATCGACGGTCCAGCGTTAAGTTCGGTGTGCGCTCCATTCACAAAATGTTACAAGCACAGTCGAGAGGATAGCGTTGGAGAAAAGTCTTTTCAGTTTACAGAAGCAAACCACTGCCACCGGAGATTGGGGTCATGTAGAAACAGCCGCACTCACCTTGCCGGATTCCGTGCAAGATACATAGGTCCTCAGACTGTATTCAACGCTTTCTGTCGTTATTCGTGTACCCTAAAACCGAGCAATGGTGTCCCGATGACCGAGGGACTGTCGCCATCGATGCTTGTTGCTTGAATTAAGTTTGGGAGTTTAGAACAGAGAAGAAAGCGCAAACGAAGTTAGGGCAATGCAGATGCCTAACACCGGGACGCAAATAGAGGGCTTGACAAGATCTCTTGGCCAACCAGAAGCCGAAAAGAATCTCCTAGCCGTGGTTTGGGATTGGAGGGCAATGTTAAAGAGCACCTCATGTTTAAGAGAAAAAAAAAAAAAGCCGCTCACCTGATGTGCATTTCTGGAAACAGGCTTTGACTAGCAATAAATTATTGCCTCAGGAATGAAGTGCTGCTTCAGTAATGGTTCCTGCACAAACAATTCAAGTGTAAGAACACAAGCCCCAAAATTTTCTTGCCATCCTCCTCCGTCTACTTTTTTGTGCATCTAATTAATTTCATCCCTTGGCAAATCCTAAAGCTTTCGAAGTCTTATCCTACGTCTTTCTCTTAGAGCCTAGTTCATGTTGCAGAAACTTGGCTGAGTGGATAAGCTGGAGCATTCATTGTTCATCGAGACACTTTTTCTTTCACCCCATCCTGTTCTTGAAAGCAGAAACTCCTCTCCCTTGACCACGGTCATTAAGGACTTTTTACAGATCATACACAGGAGGTTGGCATTCCAAGACAAACTCATGTCTTTACTTTGAGCATGGAATAAATGTATGTCTGATCTACGGAAAGTTCCTGTTATACCAAGGCTCATACTATTCCGTTGCAAAGGAGCAGGCATTGTTTATAAAAACTTCCTTTCATTACATTGTTTCAGAGAACAATTGTTCTTTTTTAATAGGGATCAATTAATCATATTAGGACAATTGTCAAATAATGGCAGATTCACGCGATGGATTGAATCGCAATTTTCATCCGTGGACCGTTTGTCACGTTACCACCATGTCGGCTATTCCTCCGATTTGCACCTCGTCAGCAGACGCCCAGACTTAAGGGCAAAGTGCCCTTCCATGCCCAGATTTTTAGCAGATGAGTAACAGTAAAAGCGTTTACGGTAGAGAACCAACAGCACAGCAATATTTTTGGTTTTCGAATGAGCCAAACAAAGATAGTGCCCTGTATTTTGTCCATTCGCTGTTTCATTTTGTCGAACCATTCTTATTTTCCACTCGTGAAAAAAGCTGCAAGAACTTTGCCCAGCTGACAAGCTGCAGGTTCTGGTGCTCCTCCGGGTCGGTTTCAAGAAGCTTCTTTCAAAACTTGCCTAGCAAGCTGCAAGCTTCCCTGCATGTCCACCCAGTTTTCAACCCAGCCAAGACCTTTCTTACGGCTGTAGTGTGCTGAAGAGTGGTGCACAAGCAAGCAGTGCGTGAAGGTATTTCCAAATGCCCCTCCGCAACACCAGGACTTCATCACTTAGACGCTGAAGCCTCCTGGAGCAGGACGATACTTGTGTCATATGGTTAGTAAAGCTAGTAGCACTTCACGCTAAGCCTGTCATGATGCTTTGTCTTGCTCGGTATATAACAGCAGCACACAATACTTTTTCATAATAGCACAGTGATCGTAGTCGCAAACATCACTTGTGACCTTGGAAAACTGTACCACAGTGCGATGTTGGCATTTTGCGGAAATGCAGGGCCGGGAATAGGTTCAGTTTGTCCTCGCTGTCATCTGCTCGTCTCCTCCGTATGGATGTGCTTGGAGGACTGATGTTCCGTGGACGTCTTGTCACTTGATCAATTTATCTGCGGATAAGTTCATGTGAATCAGCAACAAGTGGACAGCGGAGTCTGCGGTGACTTAAAGGGGTTATTACACGAAAATTAAACGGATCTATTATTCTTGAAATGGATTGCTCATAGACTACGTAGTATACACACCAAGTTACGCAATTTTAGAGCTCTGGTAATTGCACTATTCAATTTACGAATTTGTATCATTTTCATCTGGCGACCAGGCAACACTGCCCAAGTTAGTCACATCATGGTGCCCATAAAGCATGTGATCATGAACGCTCTTTCATTCTAGGGGCCCCCATGATCGCCCAAGCTCTCCTCGCCGCAGTACGATCAAAACCGCTCGCGCAACTCGGTAACCCAAATGCTTTTCTCGCTCTCGCCGCCGGCCCGTTGACCTTCCACCCTGCATGCGCCTGCGAGATATTCCCGGGCGACAGTGACCACAACGAGTTCGTCCGTAACTCGCCGTCACTGGAGTTTGTCGCCAGCGGGTCGCAGTCAAAATGAACAGCTTTCAACATCTCTTGATAGCAATCATACTCATTGCTGCCGCAATCAATGTCGAACACTCTGACAAGGCGAGCGATGTCGTAGACGTAATCATCACAAACCGCATGCTCGAAACGTGGAAGGTAAACGAGAAAACTGAAGCTCGAGACGCCAAAATAGCCAAATCTGTCAGTGCGTGCAAGGAAACATCGCGCTGGAGGCTGGCTACAAAGCCAGCCTCCAGTTCTGCTTGGATCCGCCCCTCCGAGGGATTCACATTTAAGTGGATTTATCCACGAAACTATTGCGCCATTCTCAAAACAAATCTAGCAGGGTTACAGGAACATACAATGGGTCCTAGCAGTATAGCTATCTTATATTGTATTTTTGGCGTGTCATTTCACGCCAAACATTTTTGTTGACGTTGCCTGCACGTCATAAAAGTGTGTCTCGTATCCAATTAGACATTGTCGAAGGAACGAGGAAACTGCATAATAATGTCGCACACTGTTTACCTTAACCGTTTCTTTTTTCTTCAGTTTTTGATCCTAAGTTGTTTTTTCTATATTTATTGCACGTACAGCCCAAGCTGCACATGTCTCCACAATCAGTCGCCATCCTTAAAAATGTGTACAATAAAAAAAATACATGCTGCCATCTCTGAGCAGCACCGCAAACTATGCTCGGAACAAGCCTGGGATGTCCAAAAAGAGCCAAGGGGCGAGGTATAGTGCGCGGATGAGTTACACCCATCCTAAACGGTTTAGGAACAACCCTAGGTGGACGAGCAAGGCTCGTCCAAAATGGGTTAAGGTGCACCAACACCTTCCACGTTGTTGAATCTTATGTACTAGTATATGATCCTAAATTACCAGACTAGGTTACAGAAAGTAAAGAGTAAGAGGAGGACGGGACGTCATACCTTTTCATGTTCTCATTTTTTCGCCAGTCCTGTATTAAAAGGTTTTCATAGTAAAAGTGACGGTTGTATTTTATCTACCCTTTTGTTTCTCGCAATCTCCTGCCTACCAACTCAACCAGCAAAGTAATGCCCCCCCCCAACACACATCCAACCCACAAAAGATATTTTTGGATACAAGATGCCATGAATGGGCTGTGCATGTGAACCAAGCTGAAGGCAAATTTGCGGTCTGAGGGAATAAAGAGTTACAAAACTGACAAACATGGCAGTAGCATACTTTTCACTTTTGCACATGTACAAGAACCGCTAATTTCTATTAGAAAAGCGGAAAAGCCCAAGGCTATCAGGTTACTCACCGACAGCAACTACCAGGAAGAGAAAGGGGGGGGTCTTGATTGTGAGGGCAGCTGGCCTGTAATGCTTGTGCTTTCCTGAAAGTTGCAAGTAAGACTTTTAAAGAAAAATGACCCAAACTATTGCAACAAAATATTCTTTCATTTCATTTCTCATACCAAAAAGGTTGGCATGAGGAACTTTGCCCAACTGACACGACGCAGAATCTGGTACTCATCTGCGTCGAAAAGCTTCTGTAAAGACGCGTCTACCACGCCGCAATCACTTTGAATCTCCAATCAATCTTTCACCCAGCAAGACCTTTCTTGTGGCTGTGGTGTACTGAAGGCACAAGTGCAAAGTGAGTGGAGGCATCTCCAAATGACACTTAGCGGGCCCAGGACTTCACCGCCTCCACGCCAAAGTCTCCTCGAGCAGGACCATGCTTGTGTCTCTGCCATGGTTTGGTTTAGTAAGGCTAGTGGCAATTCGCACTAAGCCTATCATGGTGTTATGCCTCACTCCGCACGCAACAGTGGCGCACAGTTCTTGTTCAAAGCAGCAAATGTCGATTTCGATCTTGGACAACAGTGCCACAGTGTGGTCACAAACATGTTCGGCTTGTCCTGGCTGTCATTTGCGTGTCTGCTCCTTCGTGTGGATGCGCTTGGGAGACGGACGAACCGCGGATATGATCAATCCGTCTGTGGATCAGTTCGTCGTGTGAATCAGCCATCAATGAAGAGTGCTGTTCATTTTGAACTTGATATAAATAGCCCTTTTGCAAAATCCCCCAAGCACGAAGATTTGTGCGAGACTGTCCCTCGCCTAGCCGCTCTGCCTTGAGATTGCATTGCCTTGTCGCTTGCCTCCTCTTAATCCTCTGTTTTTCGATTCCATTACCTGTCCTTATCTATTCCAATGTATATTTTATTGCTTCTAAGCATAGGCGTAGACTTCGGGGGGGCATCGAGGCTCGTGCCCCCCCCTGGTGACATCCGCGGGGGGAGAGGGGGGCAGGGCAGGGCCTTACCCTCGGGCCCTGCCCCCCTAAGATACAGTGGTGTGCTGTATCTTAGTTAAGTAAGCGGCAGTCGAAGGCATACGCTACAGTGCGAGTAAATGGAGCGAGCGTGGGTGGCCAAATCACAGCGCGCTCGGCTCTCGCATCACGATAGTTGATTCAGAGCTGTGCCTATCCCTATGACATGTGCGCGGCTGTTCATAAACGGCTCCTCTCGACTGTACGCGGGTCTAATTGAACCAACACAAACAGCTAACAGTGCGATAGGAATCTGTAGCAATGGTAGTACTCATACCAGGAAACGACGCGCGAAGCAGCGTGTTGTCCGTCGGCACTCCCATCGAAAAAGGCAAAATAAAGACACAAATACTATATATATATATACAAGAAATATTGTGCACAGAAGAGAATAGAAACCCTTAGAAGCGATAAAAAATACACTGGAATAGATAAAAATATGTAATGGAATCGAAAAACAGGATTAAGAGAAGGCAAGCGACAAGGCAATGCGATCTCAAGGCAGAGCGGCCAGGCGAGGACAATCTCTCCCACAATTCCTCGCGGGCGGGCCGGGGCGCTCGGGAAAATAGCGAATCGTCTATTAACTGAGCAGCACCTTTCTGTAGGATGGCTAACCCAACCTAAAACCCCTGGATATGTTTGTGTTAGTTTCTTAAGTGGTGTCAAAGTGCCAGTGCACGAGGCCCGTGCAGCACTTGGACGCAAATGGCAGTGTAGCCCTGAAATGAAAGGCATTTGGAAGTGAGTTGCATGTGTCTCTCGCGTTCATACAATTCAAGCTGAACCGTATGTACGCGATTTAGCGAGCGACGGCAATGAGCGACGGAGAGCTCTCATTGCTCGGTTTTTGGATCTCTAGAAAGCTTTGCTCATCGCCTCGGTCGCTTGCTCCCGTCGCTTTCATGTGGCTTGCCTCGTCGTGCAGCTGATCGAGCGATAGCAAAAAGGGTCGCCATCACTTTTCTTGTTGCTCGCTAAATTGCTTACATGCGTTTTATACTTTATAGTTGTTGGCACTTGCCAAAATGTGAAGCATGCATTTTATTCAGGGCTTTGCCCTTGCTGACTCTCAGACTGCTGGGATAACTTTCCACGTGATTTCTCCCTTTGCTTATGAGCTGAGGAGGAAGTAGTTTAAAACACTTTTTTTTTCTGTTTCTTTTGACACTAGTCAATGCGCGTTTTTTTTTTGTTTTTTTTTTTCTCTTCTAACCTTTACAGTGAAGTACTGCCGGAGGGTTAGTAAATAAGTGCACCATACACAGAATTTTTTTTTATAAGAAGTCAGTGCCCCAGTCGAGAGAGAACTCGTTTATACTCTTCGCAAGCAACATCATCAATACAGACCTTACTTCTAAAGGCGCACGTCACGCAATGTTTCGAGTAGTTTCCGAGGACGAAAATCGAACTTGAATCTAACCTCGCACAGTGGAAGCGAATACAAGCGCCATCACACTAACGGGTACCTTTAGCAGTCATGGGTTCCGCAAAACACACCGCCTAGCTGTCTGGTACCAAGCCGCCACCCGATTTGCAGAAATCAAGCTCCCTGATACACTCACCAAGTGTCTCGCTTGGCCCCCCTTGCCTCCGGTGGGACCTTTGCCTTTGGTTGCGTTCCCGCAATCTGAGTGCCCGTGCAGTGACAGGTCGGTTCCGTGGCTTCCTTGGCAAAAGCTCGAGGGTCATCTAATGCGGAAAGCACCTGTGCGACAAGGAACCGCACACGTTCGCTTTCACGCTGACTGCACACAAAAGGATCACGTTATAAACGCTCCGAACAGAAAGGACTCAAAAAGTAAAACGAGTGAGCGAGCACTCACCAATTAGACTCATATCCACAGCTGGTTTTATGGGCACGCCGGCACCTAGGACACTTCCTTTTTCCAAGAACGTTCTTCGATGTTTCTTCCTAAAGTCTGAAAGCGCCCGAAAGTTGCGAAAGTTTTGAAACTCGCTTCGTTTTTGAAAGTTTTTGCGTTTTGTTACGATGGCGATGGCGATGCGGCGATGCTCGTTGGTTCCGAGTTCCGACCAAGTTTATTTGACGCAACGTGAATTTGCTTGTTTTATTCGACTTAAATTAAAACTTTAAGATATAAAAAAATTGTTTTAAGATTTATAAAATTATTTGTAATAAAGCATGTCGAAGCGCAATGTGTACTAAACTGGAGCTTGGCTTCGTCAGCTTCGTTTCAATTTGACATGGCGGCGACCACTATTGTGCCGTGTACCGTGCTCGACCTATTTGCTGTGCATTGGTTGTCCTGTTATCCACCTCTTGCGATCCTCATCAGCCCCAAGCATGCTGTCTAAGTATTGTGTCGTCGCCGGAAAGAATATCCAGTCTTCTTGGAAGCGTTGCTCGAATGTCGTCGGCACCCACGAACCGACTCGGCAAGCCTCACGTCGTTGCTTGGTTCCTCCGCGTTTCCGGCGATGGATCCCCCAGCCCTGGCCTCAGCCCTACAGGACGTAGCCGGTGAAAAACAATCTACGACAACGCGGTGTCTTTGGAATGCGATTGCTACGATCAGTGGCTCTTAAAACCTCAATAGCCCCCCTTCAATAGTGAACTCTGCGATGTGAACGCCCTTACCTTCAGTGTCCGGCAACTGCTGCAAACCTCCGACGAGAGCGGACGTCTTCTCCGGGCTCCGCAAAGCCCAGAGAACTGTACGCGACTGTACGTGATCCTGGTATAAACATCGCCGCGCTCCGTCGGCCCGCCGCAGCACGTCCGCCGAGAGATCGGTTCGCTCGAGTCTCGTTCTGCGAGCGGCACGCCCGTTTCTGCTTCGAATATGGCTACAGCCGACATCGCCGCTTCGCAGCTCACCAATATCTCTGCGTCCATCCTGAGACAGGACATGAAAATCTCTCTAGAGCGAGACGACCAAGGTGGGAAATGGATCACCCCTGGAAAGCCCCGCAAATCTCGTCTTCCGGCCGACTTTGACCCCGAACTTCACGTAGTTATAGTGCATCTCCCAGTCCGTCCTGCTGGCGCAGCTGCGCTGCCTCTTGACAGTTTGCCGGCGTTCTTGCAAGCCGCACAGCTCCTTGCTCATACATGTACCGACGTGTCGCTCCACCTTTGGCAAAATAACCGTCCTCCGCACCCATCACGAAGCGATCGTCAACTGGCTACTTCGCATCACCAATATCACCTTACAGAACATTTCCCCTCCCGTCCACTCCTACCTACCCCCGACGAGATCATCAATGATCTGGAGTCTTATCAAGGTGACATCCTTCAAGCAAGGCGAGTAGGCACAACAGGGTCAGCCATCATCACCTTCATCGGAACCCATGTCCCTTACACAGTGTACTACCGCCGCCTTGAATTTCGCTGCCGTCCCCACAAACCTCGAGCCCATCATTGCAACAGCTGTGTCGAGTACGGACACCGCACTCTGGCCTGCCCGGGCAACCAGCGACGCTGCCCCCCGTGTTCCACCACCCTGGCCCGCCCAGACGAACCCCATCCCTGTACTCCCTGGTTTGCGTTGCCTCAACTCGCAGTGTGGTTCTCAAGCAGGGCACTTGGTCCCGAATAAGCTGCTGCACCTTCACTCACTCCATGAGACGCATCCCTGAACAGTTCTAGCGGCATGTAAAGCGTGGATGCAGGATTCGGTTTATGGCAGTCACCTTGACAATTGCTACAGTGGAGCACACTGCTTACAGAAAGGATCGTGCTAAGAACTGTAGGGGTGTGCTGGTCGTGGTACCTTTTCTACTACCCTTTTGGCGACGCCACGACCTGGAGCTGGAACCTCTCACAAGCGTGGCAGGGGCTGCTATACTGTGCATGCTACCTGGCTTCCGTGAAAGCTGAGTCCTATGACCTGCCCAGCGAGCCACTGGTGCTCATTAACACGATTTAATTAAATGTGTGCATACTAGACGTCTTCAAGTTGAGTTGCTCGGAGTGCAGTGTATACCATGGAACCATTTCCAGTGGCCCCAAATACTCGACAGTTCGACGGTACAGTGTGCTCAGTCCACTTGTTCTCAACATGTTTATTAATCATGATCCCTGCAATCAACTCCACTGCTGTTACAGACGACCTGATACTGGTGCCGCTTATCAGGTGGCCCAAGAAACCACCAGGGTTTGCAGAACAACATCGACAAGGTCTACTATAAACAGCCAGCTATGCTTCTTCGCACAGCCTGACGACAGTTTTGTTCAAAACGTGCGGAACACTGGGTTTTGTACTTAGCGTGTCCAGTAGACCAGGCCATAACAGACTTACGTGCCTTTCACCAGTGGCGTACCAACTTGGTTTTGAGTGGGGGGGGGCAAACTAAACCCCCTTCCCCTTCCCTCCTCCCCCCCCGGGACCGAGGAGCGGTGCCCTTGGTATCCCTTGGGCGCTGCCAGCCAGTGTTTGCCCTGCCCAGTGGTGACTGTTTTAGGGGGGGGGGGGGGGGGGGCAAACATGACTTGCCCCCCCCCCCCCCCCCCCCCCACTCTAAGAACTGGGGGACAAGCGCCCCCCTTGACCCCCCGGTTGGTACGCCCATGCCTTTCACAGCCCTGGTCCTGCCACACCTAGAGTATCGCAGCTCCATATGAGGCTCCTGTGAGGTTGATCTTGTAAGATTAGGTGAAAGTGTACATCGAAGGGCAACTATACACTATTCTTCGGCAGCCAAGCTCACTCCGGATCACTCACTGCTTTGACACTGGCTAGAATTCTGGCCCTTCACTGGACGACCAGAGTTGATCTCAAGTGTGGCCTTCCAGCGGGTTGTCTTATTATGCCTCCTAAACAGCGTTGTGGAACTGCAAGTTCATGAGACAGCACTGAAGGGAGTTGTTTGCAAGAATTGTGCTGGTGCCTTTGAACGTTTTCGTACTGTAGAGCAACAGCCTTCCTTCTTGGTGTGGTCTTCACTGTTCTGGCAATCCCTTTATTTACACTCACGCAGAACCCCCCTAACAATCATCACAAGCTCGAAAACATCTGTAGACAGGAAACTCGCTACCTTCACTCCCACTGAGGTAGAGCAGTGCCTATGTGCTTTAACGTGAATTGCAGACTTTTACTTGATTTCTATTTTGTGTTTCCCCCACTTTTATTTGTTCCTTTTGCAGGGTACTGCGGGTTTCTTGGTATAGTCTTTGGCCTCTTTACTATAAGGAATTGCTCTTAGCAGGATTAGACGATAAAAGCACTTCTAACGCTTTTATCCTCTACTATGGTACTCTTTGGCACACAACTGAACTATTTTATTCAACCTAACGAAAAACGGGTTTTATGTCCGTTAAGTAAGAAACGGACACACTGTCCGTCAGAATTACGACAAATTGCTTGTAAAATTACGGAAATTTTTTACAGTGTATACCGTTGGATGTTTACATCAGCCCACAGGAAGACAGTAAAGAGAATCGCGGAACGGCGCGGAAAAAATTGCCCAGTTATTGTCAAGCTGATTCAGAAATAGACGTACATAATTACCGCAGTCCACTCAACGCCAACGAAATTTTTTTCCGGGCGCGCTTAATTTTCTTTGCAGAGTACGGCGCTCCGTGACATCCACTTGTCCGTCAAAACGGACCTCCTTCACGTCGCACACGCGGCCAGATTCATGAAACAGTTTTCTCTTCGTCATATTGGCACCACGGAAGAAGCTTTCTGGATTCGTAACCGCCTTAAACCCCGTCGTAATCACCCCGGGAACACTGTCCGCTGTGCTGCTAATCGCCACTGCTTCCCCCCGATGATTCTGCACCGGCTACCAAAGAAGCTTTCCGGATTCTTAGTCGCCCACTGTCCTTTGTGCTGTTCGTTGCTATTACTTCGCGATGATTCTGAGCCGGCTGCACCGGCTTCCGAAGGAACTTTCCGAACTCGTAACTGCCTTAAATTCCGTCGTAATCACGACGGGGACACTGTCCGCCGTGCTGTTCGTCGCCATTGCTGCCCGATGCTCCAGCGGCGGCTACCGCCAGGTCGCGGCGAACAATAGGCGACCGCCGCGACACGGCCGGCTTGCTCGCTTCCTTTAGCGCTGCTTCGTCGAATTGTAGCGTACGCTTGCTTTCGTCCTCAGCCACCTGGTAGGCATATCCGGTATGGGCGACGAAAACATAATAAAACATTTCTACCTGCAAATAATAAACAAATAAAAAATAAAGGGGAGACAGAACGAGAATGTGGGACGGTTACGCCTATATCCTATATGTATTCATTTTATTGGCGTGGCGACGGCAAAACTGTTTTCGCCCATATCTATGAGTGACGATATTCAAGATGCCGCGCCCTTGTGAACAGCTTGTGAAAGGTTTGCTATGACTCGTAATATACCGGGCGTCCGAGAGAAAACCGAACCCTGTTTTTCGCACCGCAAAACAAAACTAGACATCGCGGAGAGCTCGAACTCCGCCAGGAAGTAGCCCCAGCCGTTCGAGCAAGATGCCAAAGTTTCGACACTTACCATTACCGGAATAACAAGTTAAAAGTAAAAAATTGTTCTCGTATATGAGAGCGCGACGTCCGCGGGAAGCAGCCAACGTTACTAAAACCCTCAGTTGGGAAACCCACCCGTGAAACCTGTGCCGCTGGCGTCCACCGAGACCGAGCAAAATACGATAACAGCGCCACCCTTTAGCTACGAGTTGAAACATGAAAGTTGCTTTACATAGCTACTGCGAGATGGCCCTGCGATATGGCGCCCCCGTCCCTTGCCCGACTCGACATGCAGCCGTGCAGTTTCCAGAGTGGACGCTGCGGGAGAAATGGCGGCGTTCCGATCGCCATTAGCTCGGTTCTCGAGTACGGATCGGAGCCACTTTTTTTAAGGCAGAACCACTCAGTTTCCCAACTGAGTGGTTCTAGTAACGTTGGGAGCAGCAGACGGAATGCCGCTGTTTTCGACCGCATCTTAGAGATGGCGCCCCCAGCGACCAAGGGTCTTTTGTTGGTTTCGATTTGCGTCACAGTACACTCTAAAAAAAGTCTCAGGTGTTAAACGACATGATTAACTACCACCAGCT